ATATATATATATATATATATATATATATGTATATATATATCCAGATTCAATATTGCTAATATTAATTTTATTATTCCTTGGGAATGCGCAGCTCGTGTTCATCGCATGTTACTCTGCATATTACGTTATTTATATATGTGTTGAAGTTTAATACCGAAGTTTTTATACGAAATATAATTTCCCTACAAATTCTCAGACAGTCGGTTCTTCAAAGCTTAGGTTGAGGATCGCGATCTGGACAAGAATTGAAGAGAAATTGAATATCTTTTCCCGACAAAATTTCGAGGCGACTTTTGCGCACGGAAGAATGTAACAATACACTTGCAACAATTGCAATCATAAATCCCGCTAGAACAAAACGAAATTTTGAACTTCCAGAGTCGGTGAAAAGCAGGGAGTGATTTTAGGGAATTCCTGAGAGAAAAGAGAAAAATTTCTGTAATTCGTAAATGAAGAGTGGACAGTTGCCTAATTTTTATTGAGAAAAAAAAAAAGGAGAAAAACTATTCATCCGAATTTTTTTTCCGCCATAAATGAATAAAACACGAGATGTGAATTTCATATTTGATTCGCGAAATCAATTCGTGTCTCTCAATACCGAACGAATGCGATTGCTCGAAACTTTTGCTTATTAATATAATATATACGAATAACGACGGGGAAAGTATTGAATCATTGAAAATTTCTGAAAAAAAGAAAAAAAAAAAGTAGAATTCCCACCATTTTGGATTTAATCAACGAAATCAATTGGAAAGCGGCACTTCTTTGTCGTCAGACGTAGATGACGTTGTGAATTAAAATTTTTCTTTATCCGTATCGACGATTAAATCTCCAATCGAGATGATCAAACGACCGATTTCAATTCATTCGAAAAGTCTTTAGAAAGAGAAAAAAAAAAAAAAAAAAAAATAACAATTGCAAGGAAGTTCTCGAGTCGAAAGTAATTGAAAAATCGAATGAAATGCAATAATTGGGAAAAGAAGGGACAAAGACGAAGCGTTCGAAAGTGCAAAGTTTCATAATATAAATTTTTCCTCTTTGTCTACCTTTTTCCTTCGTGTCAGAATGAAAAAAAAAAAAAAAAAAAAAAAAAAAACTAATGAAAAATAGAAAGTAATTCTTCGTGAAAGGAACCAATCGATCAATCGGAAATTTCTATTTCCAATCGTGAATACCTAAAACACTTCGATCATAGGAATCGAAAAAAAAAAAAAAAAAAAGAAAAAAAAAGAAGAGGGAACCGACACGGCAAGAGCCGCTGTACGAACGTACGTACGAAGAAGGCCGCACGAAACCCGGAATCAATAGCGGACAACGGTCGGTGGGGCAAGAGACGCGGAGTCAGGATGAAACGCAGACGGTAGAGTACGAAAGCAAGCATGATAGACTGGGTTATTAAGATTTTTCTTCAATGCAAATAGAACCGAAAATTAATGACCAACTTCGCTCGATTGCCAACTAAACACACGTAAACATATGTAAGACAAATAATTATTTTTTTTTTTTTTAACAAATAAATTCTAAAAGAATAGAAACAAAGGAAAATGTGAATTTAGAGAAGTATGGAATATTCTCAACCGCATTAGCTTTGATCAGTTCAATTATTAGATACTTGAGACTAAATATGAATTCGTCTAATTATTTTCTCCGCCAAATCCTTTCCCTTAATATTACCAAGGTAAACAGATCGATAAGATTATAGCTAGCTACGAGTTATAATAATTCATAACATCGTCCTTGCGATGATAATCATTTAAACTTTTACAACGGAAATAAACGGAATAACACATAGCTCAAAATTCCTCGAATTATGCTGCTTAAAGCACGTCTTTATGAAGACGTTATAGCTAAGGCGAACTTCACGTACAGTCACGTGTTACCAATTACCGTAATTGTGCTTTGTTTCGCTTCTTTCTCTTCGATTCGAGAAAGAGAATGAAATACTGATGCTTGCTCAGCTAGTCGAAATCGATTAGTCAGTGTTCTTCCCAAAACAAAAGAGAAAACTCGGATATTTGCTGCAATTATTATTCCATGTACGTACATACATATTTACGTACACCAAGCGTATGCTGCACAGATAAAAACACTAGAAAAATAAAAAAAAAACAGTATTTTTTTTTTCTGTTTTTTTCAATTCACTAAAGAATCCATTGGTAGATGTTTCTCTCGCTTGATCTACGAAAGAGAAAACAGAGAAGTAAAACGTAGATGGTCGAAGAACGGAATGGAACGGAAATGTTTTTCAAAAGAAATCGCAACGTGTTTGATAGATGTTTGTAAAATAAGAGAGGTGTTAAACCTGCCGGTTAAAAAGCAATACCGATTGACCGATTGGTGAGAAATATTCAAAGACCGTAGAATAGACATTTTTTTTTCTCCAGCTGCACGAAAGAATCCCGCGCAACAGAAGCAAAAAAATGATATGTGTGTGTGCACACACGCGCACACACGTACATACGTAACACAAGCATATACGTACGTACATACATACATGCATGCATGCATATATATACATATACACATGTATGTATGTATGTACGTAGCATAGAGGGAGGAGAAAAAAAACCAAGAATATAAAGTCGTATAAAATTGAAAAGCAGGCAATATAATAGAGAAAAAGAGGAAGCATAAAGGGGGTCGATCGTAGTCGCAACATACCGGGGACATAACGGGGGGCGTGGACGTTTGTGTGGTAATGGGCGAGAGGTGCTGCTGCTGTTGTTGGCCCTGCAATTGCTGATGCAGGTTGTTCTGTCCGGCGTCCATAACTCCACCTGGGTACCACCACTGTACGCCAGGCGGTGGCGCGGAAGGTGTACCAGGTACACCTCCGCCTGTTCCGGGCCCCGTTCCTAATCTATAATCATAGCCTCCCCTCATGCAGGAGCCAACCGGCGTAGACGTCGAGACGGGATTCGACTGCGTGCCCGTGGTGGCTGGGTTCTGAAAGCTGGAGGCCATCTTGTAGGAGAAAAGCTGCTGGGTAGCGGCAGCGGTACTCCTAACGATATCCTGATGATGCTGTTGCTGCGATTGCTGCTGTTGCGTTAACTGCTGCTGTTGTTGATTCATCAGGTGTTGATGTAAATTCTGTTGTTGCTGCTGTTGCTGTTGCTGCTGTTGTTGCTGTTGTTGTTCGGCAGAGACGGTGTTTAAACCCGAAGGCCACCAGGCGGTACCACCAGAGGCATCCTCGCGGCTTCCTGGGCTTGCTGTGCCCCAGCCACCGGCTACGCGGTGGTGTTCCGACATATCGTACACGCGGACGATCTGTCTGTCACTTCGGCCTTCGTTTACCAAACGAGGTACCAAGGAAAAGAAAAGGATGCACGAAGGAATTACACGACACGCACTCACGCACCACACACACGCTCCTCTGTCTCCCTCATACAGGACATGCACACATACGCACACGCACGCGAACGCTGCGCGCGCGCGCACGCACTCGCTCGCTTGCTCTCACACAACAGGGTATCTCTCTACACACACGCGCGCGCACGCACATGCACACATATATGTGTATATATATATGTATATATATACGTATATGCACACGCACCCTCACATTCGTACTAGGGGTCCTGGTTCGTGACCGTCGTGTATCGCGCGACACGCACCGCACGCGCTACCGTGCTCTCCTCACTGTCACACCACGTTCCTCTTGTCCAGCCGGCGCACTACACGATCACTACTAGTACTCCTGGTAGCACAAGCGGCTTCATACACGCTGTTTTTTCCACGATGTATAGAGGAGGTCCTCGTGAATACGTACGTTATACTTGGGATGCGGTCTACTCGACGCTACGCTCAACCGTTCGTTAGCTTCGTGAGTAGGTATGGCGGGTAGAGGAGGAGGACGGGCGGGTGGGTAGGGGAGGGCGCTCTCTCTCCCCTTCTAGCTCTTTCTTTTTCCCTCTGTCTCCCCACCATCGACAGATACACCGCTGCGTCTCTCCGTCTCTCTTTTTCTCCCTCTTTCTCTTGCCTTGTCTCTTCTTCTCCCTTCGCTCTCGTTTTCTTTCTCTTTCTCTTTCCCTTTTCTTCCCTCCCCTAAGTATTCATGGAACCTTTCATTCGAGAAACACAACGTTTCTTTCCAACGAGTCACCGTTGACGATAATATTTAATATAGATCTGTTATTTTCATTCATTTATGCGTACAATATTCGCTTCTCTTGCGACAAAAAAAGAGAAATAGTACGCATATGCATGCGTATGTACATGTATATCGCCCTTTTCTTCCTCCTCGGAAACGTGACGTATTTTCTCTCTCTCTCTCTCTCTCTCTCTCTATACTTGCTCGTACACACGGTGCTAATTACGCACTCTATGCGACACCGCGCTCGCGTAGAGACGCAATGCTTCTTTTACGTGTATATACACACAGATGCTGACTGGTTGCACAGTGGTAGTGGAACGCGTAATAGCTTTTTCACATGGAGAAGCTTACGCGCGGATTGCTTCTCTCGCCACCGACTCTACACTCTACACGCGATGCCGCACACACAGAGGGCGAACCTGGCGAGGACGGGCTGGCTGGACGCTTGTATATTCTCTCTTTCTCTTTCTCCAACCCAATCCCCTTCCACGCCGACCCGAAGTCTCACTCACTACTTGTCTGTTTGTCTCTTTCTCGGCGTTCCTCTATCTTTTTTCCACTCGCACAGGCTTAGCCTTCCTTCCAGCGGACGCCGGCGAACTCGTACAGCGTTGCCAAGCCACGCTTTCACCCGCCCGCTCACAAAGGAAAACCCGAGTACGCCGACCAATCGAACTACATTTCAACGGTGGTGGGGATGGCGGGAGTCTACCACTACTGACGTCGAGGCAACGTTGCTTTCTCTCTTCCGTTCGTAGAGAATTCGAGAGCCATGGCTCGTAGTCCCTGGTAAGGTAGAGGGGCAAACGACTGCAAACCCTTCTCTACCCTTGAAACTCGAGGTCAACTTTTAGGCAGAGAAAGAGAGCGAAAGGGAGAGGAAGATACCAACTCTGACTTGTCGCCGTGCGCTCTTTCTTCTCGCGCCTTTTTTTACCCTTCTTAGTTTCGTTACACTGCTACGGTCACTGGAATTTGCTCCACATTGGTACTTCCTGCTTTTCGCGCACCCTTTTTCCTGCGTGTCAAGTCGGCTTTACCGACCGAAGAACTCTCACTTCTTGTCACTTGTCAGTCGATATGGAAGAACTTTTAAAATTACCGAGAAAATAAGATGAAAAAGCCATCTTCCACGATTCCTTTCGATTCCTTTCGAAGACGAACTTGTGCATACAAAATGCATGCAAACGTAATAGTTCGTCAGTATCGAAGCACCCTCGTTGTTTAAAAAATCAATCTCTTAAATTGTACATTTTCTATGATAGAGTTTTTACTTTTTTAAAAAAGCTTGTTGAATTTTTAAAAATTTTAAAAATCTGTGGGGAAGTCTTCCGGAAAATTGAAGTTTAAACAAGTGTGCTTTCGCAATCGATTTCGTGATATAAAATAGTATAATGACAAGTACACTCCTGACAAGTTTAAGAACAATGTAGCGTTATGTACTAATAACGAGTAATAACTTAACGTTTACGAGATACTGAATACATTTTTCGGTAGTATCAGTTCTTTTTCTCATTGGTACATTATTTCGAAAAATCTGATTACAACGTACTACGTTATAAAATATATTGGAGCTTCGATATATTAAAACGGAACATAAACTGTAATGCCACATATGGAATGTAATTTCTAGTATATACTCCCATAAACCCATACCCCATAGCCAAAGCATACCCTGTAATTTTTAGCTGTTATCAGATGAAAGATCAAATCTATTAATATGGAAACGTATCGTGGGAACGATCACTGTGCAACTCTGTTATATAGCAACTCCACGAGGAATTTCTAACGTAGCGTAGCAAGAAGCAACGTGAAATTGCGCAAGCTTTTGGAATTCCGATTTTTTAAAATCACGCACAGACAAGACAAAATGAAAATGTATATCATAGGATTTGTACGTCGGGCTTCCTTTCTTTCCACTCAACCCCCAATCAAGAGGCGGGTGAGTCGGAGGTAACCCGGCAAATCGAGAGAGAGAG